GCTGTAAAGTCACAGGGCAGTGTCAGTCAAGTCCTGCAATTGGCTTTGATCTGAAGCCCAAACTACCTGCTAATTCACATATACTAAATTGGTGTGTGGAAGAATTCAGTATTCGGTTCTTTGTTGCCCATCATAATTTTTTCTATGGGGTGACAGCTTTGCCAGTGCAATGACATGTTGAAAGGCACGAGGAAAGGCTTTAAATCTATCTGACATGAAGTCAGTCCTAGATCTAAACAAACAAGACATTAGCTGGTTCCAGCAGTGTTCAGTCCCAGTCCCGGAGTAGCCCTCTCTGTGATGGTTTAGTTCCGTCTGGGTTTTACTCCAGGTGTACAACTGTTACCCCATTTCTAACAGTTATAATCTGGAGTCAAAGGTCATGGCATTCTTACCCATATTAAAGCAGGTTAAAGAGTATTAGCATAATGTCTGCAAATAAAAAACACACTAATTTAGTTATGCAAGTCTATATTCTGATTTTTTTTATGAGACAGAATTCAGTATAGTATCAGACAGTATAGTGCAGACAAAATATAAAAGTACCATACCAAAGATAAACCTGAGATCTCAGATGAACCTGAGATAACAGTGTGTGATAGTAGCTGGCGACATGACTGTTATTTAATGACTAAATCTAGAAGCCCAAGGAAAGTCACATATTGCGATAAGCCTGGCAAGCTGATGCCTGGAAGATCTTCACCTCTGTGGATGTGCTGTTCTCATAAAGTGGTTTCGCATATCCTCCTGAACTTCAATTTGCAGGACGCATCGTACCAGGCTTCCTGAAAGGTGTTGTGAATGCCAATGTGCACGCAGTCCTCCCCCTGCGGGTCCACCTGGCTCCAGTTGTCTGGCTCCCTGCCCCCCAAGACACTGGCCCAGAACCTGAGAAGAACAGACACTGGCTCACCCTCTGTGCCTGCGCTGTGGACCGAAGCAGAGCTTGAAGCCACCCATCAGCTGCCATCAAGAACTGAGTTTGCACGTTTTTGTCATTTGGAATCCACAATAATCCTTTGTTCTTTACCTGCCCGATCTGGAATTATTCATCGGTCCTCAACTCGACCTCTGACCCACAAGGCGTGTGCCCCGGCGGCTGGCTGGGGGCCCCCTGTCAGCACACTGTGCAGGAGAGTTAGCTCCCACTGCGGCAGCTGCCTGTCCCTCACGGACATCGCCTCTGCAGCTCCTCACACACAAGACTCAGTCCAGGCTGCAGCCTGTCCCACTAACTGGGAAAAGTCTACCAGCCCTTTGCCCTGAAGACCACGTGTGGTTGTTGTTGCCGCATGTGTCAAAGGTGAGATTTTAGTCATATATTTGAAGCTGAAAACATCATTAGATAATTATCTCTCAGCAGTGTGTCTCACTCAGTTGAGGTCAGTTGTTCTGAGCCTCTTGAGTGACTGTAGTCCTCACTCAGGGGCGGCAGTGGTAACAGAGGAAGTGAAGAGCTCCAGACTGGTCAGGGAAATATGATCTTACGTTGTCCGTGCATCGAGAGACGTGTCGTCCACCCATCGCCAGGAGCCCTCTGCAGCCAGATCGTTCAGCCCAATCCAGTAAGAATCGTCGTAAGAGCGGATCTGTTCGGCAAGCTTTGACGTCAGGAATTTCTAAAATACAACAAAACAGTTGGCACTGCTGGACTGCAATCTGCAGCAGGTGACGGGACATCCAGAGACAAGTAAATCCATATTTAGGAAACTTTAGATTCAGGATTGCCATACTCCAGTTTCAACTGCTCCTCTGACGTTGGTGTCCCTGTAGAAAGACAGCAACAGTGCCCACTAACCACAGCACACCAAACCCTCTTCTCCTGAAGGAATGCCCAGGCTTCGCCAAGCTTGAGAGCAGAGGAGCTGAAGACAACATCAAAATTCACCCCCACCACCACATCCACACCCAGGTTCAGACCGTCAGAAGAAACAGGCCAATAGGTTAAGAACAGTCAGTGACGCTCATTCATCTCAAAATGACTGGCAGTGCTGCATGTTTGGGTTTAGTTTTATATATGAGTGCACGTTACAGACACTGTTCTGCACTGAGGTATACAGCACCTCCTGCTGATCATGACAAGAAATAACACAAGCAAACAAAGCCAGGAATGAATCTACTGTCCATGAAGGTTGCACTGGCTGGTTGAGTGCATATTTTCTTTAAAGCACAAAGCAGTGTGTTTGGGTGTTGAGGTTTTTATATTTCCTATATATTCATATAAGTGTAGCCTACTCTGTTTAGCCTTGCTAGCCTGCCATCATACCATCCCTGTAGACAACTGCCTTGAGAAATACAGTATCAGAGCAACCAAACTGGAACTGACCCTCCTATCCCATAACAGAGGTTCCCAAGGTACTGAGTGAGGGGTCTTATGGTGCGACAGGCCTGCAGCTCAGAGATATCGTCTAGAAATGTGGCGTCTCTCCCACCTGCTCCTCTTGGCTCTTGATGATCACCAGGCTGCCCCCTGCAGACGCACATATGTCACGGCTGGTCCCCCAGCTCTCCTTGTCACTGGAGAAGAAGTAGCACTTCCTTCTGAACAGCTCCCAGTGGTCCGGACACGTTTTCCTGGGTTTTGCCTCTGTGCAGCAGGAGGAGGAAAGATCTGAAGTCTCCATGTAGATGGAC